TGAAGAGAACTTCACAGTGAGAAACTGAGCACCTGCTTTACACTTTTTGATACAAATTAATTTCATAACACATCCAGGAATTAGGAATTTAAGGTAATTCAAACAAATTACCTATTATTTCCAATAGACTTCTCACTAGAGTTTCAATATTTTTGCTAAGCACGCATAGTATCATGAGATAATTACTAATTGCATAATGACTATTCATAATTCCATGTTGACAGCTTTTTGTCCTTAAGTACTTTAAAATGGTCATTTCTTTGCTCTTTTGATTTTTTTTAATTTTTGCTAAGTCCCATAAATTATAATTTTCTTTGTTTTTAATACATTAGAGTATTAATTTGGGGGGTCATTTTAAATGTTTTCATCCATAATATTCCATAATAATGTTTATTTTAATGTATATTGTCATGCTTGTCTTTTGTCTTCATTATTGCTCACAATTGTTGATGTTGTTTTAGATTACTTTATTAGTCTATGTTTGTACAAAACATTTGCATGTTTTGGGGAGTTGATACCTGTATATAAAGTATCTTAATTCCTTTATTCATCCCTTTTTCTCCTCTTTCTCACCTCTGTCAATCTCTGGATACCCTTCGTGTTTTTCAAAGCATGAATTGTTTTGAAAATTATGTACTCAAATATCTGTTCTGCTTCTTTTTCTCTTTTTATTAGATTCCAACTATGGAGTAAATAAACTATTTGTTAGTTTTCTATGGGTGATTGAAGTTCCCTTAAGTTTTTTCTCTTTAGTTTTTTTTTCCTTTTTGATAATTCACTATACAAAGCTTGTATTACTCTTTTCTCTTCACTTTTTAAATATTGTCCAATTCAATATTAAGCCTGATTTTTTTTCAGCTAATGGCTTTTCACATATTTATTTTTATTTTGGATAGTTTTGATATACGGGAATCAAACTTTCAACCTGAAAGATACCTGGGATGAGTTCATGTTCTCTAAAACTGAAGAATGAATTTTAGGAATAAACAGAGGTTAAGGGCAGAATATTTATTGGGAGAAAGAAAGCTTCTGTCTCAGAGGCAGGTTATCTCCAGAAAACTGTCTCTTGCAGGCACTCTTACAGAGTAAAACCATACAGTGAGGTGGGACTAAGGTGGTGAGAACATGGGAACTCGCTCATGTGGGCATGAGGTGGGACAATGCTATGGTCAACCAATGAGTTTACAAGTTACATTGCTCAGGTAAAATTGATTAAATCCAGTACCAAATGGGGAAGTGTGTCACATAGCAAGCAGGCATGAGTATAGGACAGGGTCTCTTCCTATTGGAGATTGAGTTAGTGACTCATTTGGGCTCTTTCAAGGTGATTGATACCTATTTAGAAGATCAATCCCTGATGCCCATCCCTAGGGAATTATATGACTGCATTTGTTTACTTTCATATTGAGGTATGGCCCAAAGTGGGAGTGTCTATCTTTTCCAAAGTTGCAAAGTTACCTTGTCTTCCATATTGTCTCTTTGAGGGCCTGGCCCTGTCTAACTCCCTACACTATTTCTATTTAATGTAGCTGCCTACAACATTCTCAGCCTAACCTATCTCAGTGCTTCATGGCAGAAAGGCATAGTGAAGCAGTGTTATTGATCTCATGAGAACCAAGAAGCAGAGAGAGAGAAAGTAACCAGAGATAAAGGGGCTGGGAAAAAGACACACCTTCAATGGAATGGTCCCAGTTAACTACTTCCTCCAACAGCCTATTTAGCTAATAGACTCATCAATGATTAAACCTTTTGATGAGCTTACAGTTTTGAGGATCCATTCATTTACCAAATAACCATCATCTAGAATCAACCATTCAACACAAAGCACCCAGAACAATTTTATAGGCATTTTACATATATATATATATATATATATATATATATATATGACTTCCTAAGGATATTGTTATAGGCAGCTAAGTTAGATAGGAGTATTATAGTTAGTCAGATAGTGGTAAGCATTTGAAAGAGCAAGTATGGAAGGCAGATATCTTGCAACTGTGGGAGAGACAGGCATTTCTACTGTGGGCCAGACCTCAAGATAAAAGATTAAATAAATGCACCCACATAACTCCCTAGGGGTGGATTTCAAGAATTGATATGCTAAATAGGTGTCAATCACCTTGAAAGAGCCAGGAATAGCCACTAACCTACCCCCTACAATAAAAGCTTCTGTTCTGTATTCACGTCCTCTTGGTATGTCACTGGCTTCCCCATTTGATCCCAATCTAATCAATTTTAACAAAGTAATTATTCTCATAATCTTATTGTTTAAGCTTAGTTTTGTTCCACCTCATGCCACCTTGTGATCTCTCTTTTTTGCCCACCTCACCTGATGGTTTTGCTCTACAAATATTTCTAAAAAGAGCAGATTCCTTGGCAACCCACTCAGGTCTCCATCTGTCTCTCTCAGAGAGAAGTTGTTTTTTTTTTTTTTTTTTTTCCCCCCCCTAGTAAGTATGTTTTGCTCTTAACCTGTTCTTCCTAAAGTTCATGCTTCAATTTTAGAGAACACAAATTGGTCCCAGATATTTAGCAAGTTGTTTCTTTCTCCTATATCAATATCAATATTTTAGAAAGATAAAAGTTTTGTGAACTTGAATATTATTACCAACTTTCTAGGAGAAATTCACATAAATTGACATTCTATTTTATTGGGGTCCAAGAAGTTATTAAATGCAACGTAATATTTTAAGAGAATATTTTACACTGAAGAAAATTGAAAAATATATTTACATATTTTAACTAAGTATTATATTATTTTCCTTGTGTCCACAGAAAGAGAAAAATATGAAATGGCATAAACAATAAAAGTAAATATCTTGAAAATGATATTTACATAATTTTCAAATTTAGTTTTATTGGAAACCCAATGGAGCATGAAAACATGAAATTATTCAATAAAGGGGAGATAATATTAATAAAAGAAATTTGATTTACTATTTATATGCATGCTTTATAATAAATTATTTTCTCATAATGAATGAAATGTTGACTTATGTACTGAGAACATAGGACAATGAATATAGGTAATGAAAGAGCCATTGTTAAATGGTTTGTTCATAAATTTTTCCATGACTTGAGCATGAAATAAGGAATAGTGGATTTTAGTTTTTAAAATCCAGTGGTAGTCTTTGAGCCATTACAAGTATTTCTATATTGAACTGAAATGATTAAAATATTTCACAAAAGTGAGCGTGAGATATCCCTGAACTCTGTGACATATATTAATATTACAGTGCATGCTTTATCATTAAATGATAGAGAACCTGAATTACTTATATAAGGCAAGAAATGAGTAAATAATGCATTCTCTCACTTACATATTTTGTATAATTCTTCATTGTAAATAACCACTCTCTAGAAGTTTATTTAAATTTATGAAATTAAACAAAAGTCAAACTTTTGTGCATGAGCCTTGCTAGTTATGTTCATATTGCTCAGTATTTCACATATGTAAAGAGTATGATCACAAAATGAAATAGAAGAAAGTAAGGCAGTCTCACTACTTCTGTGAAACTTTAGCGGTGATGCTTAATCTGTACATAGATGATAAATGGTAGTAAGACAAAACGAAGGGTAAGGAGTGCCAGAGAGAACAATGGAGGTAAGGCACGGGTTCACAGAAAGCACACACTGCGAAGACCACCTGCAACAGACTTCAAGTCAGGGCATATGCAAGGAATTTTGTGCATAGCAGAAGAGTTATGAGACTGGTGTGATAAACAGAAGCTAAATTATGAAGGACATTCCATCATGAACTGAAGATGTATATTTTTCACCTAATGGCTATTTTTGAATACAACAGTGCAGTGGTTCAGAATAATTAATGTATGCTTTAGAAAGATCACTTGGGCGAGAGTGTAGAGAGTGCATTATTGTCAGCCAACACTGTAGGAGATCATCCAGTCTTAGGTTTGAGCTAAAGCTAAGGTGGAAGCAGTGGAGAAAGATGAATGATAACAATTTTTACAACCATTCATAAAGGAATGAATCATTCAGTAAGTGCTCTTAATCAAGTGCCTTTTTTCAGTTTTTCATCATTAATATGTATATGCATTTTTCACAAGGTATCAACTATGTTGGTACATATTACATCCCATCTGTACAAGATGAATGTGCAAATATGTGCATGACAAGATTACCAAAGTTCAGTATGTTTCCATTATATGTTTTTTTAGCTTTCTAGTTTCCATAGCCAATTCTGTACTAGCCTAGAAAAGATCACATATATATCAAATAAATTGTAGCACAAAATTATTATATGCCATTAACTTTTTTAATGTATTAGGTACAGGGTCTCAATCCACAGCTCAGGCTCCTAGTAATCCTCCTGTTTTCAGCTTCCCCAGCCCTTGGATTATAGATGTTCTCCACCACACCTGGTCTCAGTGACTGGTGCAGTGCATCTGGTGTGGGACCAGCATGGCATGAGGTGCTGGGGATCAAACCCTGATCCCTGCACTTGTATCAGCAGGTGTTTAGTACACTAAGCTATCTTACCAGACCTGCCATTAACATGTTTTGAAAATACTATTAACAAGAAAGCCTGGAAGACTACACATTCTACTAATCCAGAAATAGCCCATGTTTCTAGAAAGTCCAAACTGAACATCCACAATCAACTTAACCAAACATACTAGAACTAAATGTATTAGAATTAAATGCATAAATTAATACATAAATCAAGAACTAAATTTGAATGTTGTAATTCACTTTCCCAAGTACTTATAAAGAATTGCCAAGGCATGTTCTCTGCTCTAAAGCCAGAGTTAAAGATTGCAAACTTCCATCATGATTCATATTTTATGGAATATCAAAATAAAAAAATCTACAATTAAGTAACCAAATGGTTTTCACAATTTAACTCAGAAAAACAAATCTAAATTTCTGAACTAAACTTTCTTATTTCTGGTTACAATATTCAGGTTTTCATTGCAGGCATATATTTTAAAGTAGCAAGGTTTTAAAAGTATTAGAGATAAGAAAAGAAATGCACTAGCTTTGCGCAGTGGCAGTATCGTAGCCAATGAGGTTTATCCGAGGCATGATTATTGCTAAGAAATGCACTGTGCAGAGTGAGAGCTGGCCACTACATAGTTCAAGGTGGTCACGTGGTGCTTACATTTGTGAAACTCCCAGGACGTGTCAAGAACTAAAAGTAAGAATGAAGATGTGGCCCCTCCCTATGTGAGGTTGGAAACCAAAGCATATCTTCTACATCATCCAATTGACTAGCAAGGAGGCCTGTGAGAATAACTTTAGACTATGTTAGGAAAGCTTCAACTACATTATCTTACAACTTCTCATAAGATTGATATGATTTGCATGTGTGGAAACTGAAGTGAAAGAGAAGAAAGGAAATTACTTTCAATGTCATGGTTTTCATAAGTAACAGGGCCTACATTCATATGCAGGATTGATTTTCATATTTCATCTACTCTATGTATTTTAAGTATCTTAATTTCTTTTTCATTATATTGAGAATGAAATACTATTTCCAAGTCATTGATTCACCTTCAACTTCTCTAAATGAAAAAGAAATATGAAATTTATAAAGAAAGAAATGCAGACCAAGAGCACTATTGCATGAGGACTCTGACAAGGGTTTGATAGTCTTATCTCCAAAGGTTACTAGCTATATTCTCTGCCTTTCTGTCAGAAAAATAAATGTTCTGACAAACAACACTTGACATCTGATCAGCCAGATGGCCCTGGGGTTGCATCATTTTCATGTCCAAGGCATATCTCTTACTTTACTTAAAATTTGTTCAAGTAAATAAATAAAACATAGGTTAATAATTTACTGAATATGACCTTTTACCAAATACTCATCTGTTTATCTGCTTAAAATAAGCATGAAAATGTCCTCTCACCCTGTAATGCATAGTCTTTACACTAGTAAGTACTTGACTAAAATAAAAGGAAAATAGAAAGATATGTGTCCTATATAATGTACAAGTTAACATTTTCTGAACAGAAACAGTTGGCGTAAAGGAATCTCCTGAGTGGCACAAAACACCAACAGACTAAAATTACTTTCTGGTACGTCACCTTCAAGCTGGTGCCTAGTTTCTGTCTGCTTACCTTATGCTTGCTCTCCCCACCATATTGTGCCTGTTGCCTTCAATTACATCAGGTAATTGAAGTAAAAATGTTCTTTCACTCCTTTGAAAACCCTTCAAAGTAATTCCCAAGAGACAAATATTCAGTAAGAGGGTTTTTCTTATACTCTATGCTAACAATTTAAGATTATATGTTACATAGCCTAAGGTATTGGTAATTTGTAAAAGTATCTCTTAGAGAAACATACTCTTTAAATATCTAGGTGTTCAAATTTCAGCGGATATCAAACTGAATCATACTACATCCTTAATCAATCACTCCTTGACCCTCGCCTCTGAATAACTAATGTGCTTCCCTTCTTTCTCTAAGGTGTTAGTAATCACTATGTCATTGGCCCCGAATCAAAGCCAAAAACTTGCTGTAGCTGCTGCTTTCAAACAGGAAGCTAAAGAGAAGTCTTTCCATGATCTATTGGCCATTTCAGAATTTTGGAAATGTAACAGTCAATTCATTGGAAAAAAGTAACACACAGTAATATTTTAAGGGCAGAACACACAGTAATATTTTAAGGGCAGATATCTTGTTTTACATTTATCTTCACTAATTTCAAATATTCCTATACAAATAACACTATTCCTCAAATGCTAAGCTCAACAGAGATTCAAAATATTTCTTTAATTATGTTCTTAAAGGTGAAATTGTAATATATAGTTAGCTCTTAATGAATTACAGATATTTTCATAAGATCATAATGTATGAATTATTCTTCATTTGAATCTGCCTCAAAAACAAATGTACCAAGAAAAACACATTTTCAACTATGAATTTAAAAATAATTTAGAAACCATGTCTAGATTGAGAATGAAAAACATTAATGTCTACACTGTTAAACCTTAAACTATGATCATGTAGGTCATTAAATACATTTCCAAATAAACAGAACTTTCAAAATCTAGAGGACTGATAAGACTTTTTATCAATTTACTAGATTAATTTTTCTTTATATAATATCTTGATTTATGGAAGACCACCTGAGCAGCTGTCCTTGAAAGAAAAGTGATTGTCTCCATTTTGACTGAGCCTGACCCAATTTCCATGTATTGATATGTACAGAGTTGGCTAGGACTTTTCTTTATCCTTTCTATTGGCCTTAAGCAATGAATATTGGTCTAGCTGAGGTGCTGGCAATAGTGTTTGAAGGTGGCATGTGTGTTTCCCTGGTAACCTACACCTGCTGCTCTTTACTGTGAGCTGGATGGAGACTGGACCAGGACGAAGAGCCAGTGGTCTATGCTGCCAGCTGGGACTGAGCCTCAAGATAGAGGTTATGACTTCCTGGGGCTTGAAAGATTACATCAGAGCTGAAGCATCAGATCTCCAAAACACTAGATACTATCTCAATAGCATAATGCACATTACTTTATCTGCTTATCCTCTCTGCATATGGCAGAGGTAAATGTAGGCCACCCACCTAGCTCAGCTCACAGTACTCACCTACTTCCCACAATTCTCATTCATTCCTCCTCAAACCATTCCTCCACTGAATAAAACCCAGGTGTGGCCCTGGGTCAGCCTCTTTGTTCTGGAAAGCCATCTTCATGGCTGGACTTAGGACCCTTTGGCTCCCCAATAATTATAAATATGTTTTAGTGTCTTTATTTTCACTGTGGGTTGCACTGGGAGTGGTAGATTGGAATTAATTTGGTGAGATTCCAATAATGTATCTTTGGGATTACAAACATTGACTTCTTGGACTGAGAGGAGAACCTGGAGGGGACTCCTACATTGGTTGAGTTTAAATATTTCACCTGTGTTGAGAGGTCTATTTAGTTGAATAGAAATCCTCAAAATATTTCTGTGATAATTTATATATTTTCTTTCTGTGATGAATAGCAGGGTAAAGAAGTGAATTCTGAATTACTATAAAATGAGCTTTTATACATAGGAATAAAGCTACTTATTTTGTATAACATTCCTCTATGTCTGATAATGATAAACAGTACAGCAAAATTGTATTAATTAAACAAGCTTAGATGCATACATTTATATAATCCCATTTGTATATAACAGGAAATTTCAAATATAGAAGTATATTCTTAATGTCATTGAAAATCAGATTCTAACTTGGAAACCATATGTAGCCAGACAATTCAGAATAGAAGAGAAAACTTCCTTTTATGCCCATATCCTAAAGTTACCAGCAATTCAGATGTTTCCAAATAAGCAGTTAAAGAAGTTGGTGGATTTCTCTAAATGTTATTAATTTATGAAATATGACATGGTGACAGATCACTTTTAAAGCATCATGGGCAACACTGAAAAGTTGATAAACAATCAAGCAAAGGGAAAGTACTGTGTGATGTTCATAGCTCCAAATAAAATTACAGTCTTGCTGTGACTTCTGAGAATCATGAAATCCTGAGATGAATTTCACAGCTACCTTCAAACAGCCACTTGAAATCTCAGCCAAACCAACCATTGGGAGATTTATGAGTTGCACTCCTTAGGAATAGAGACCCTTATGCCAGTGAATATCAAATTCATCAATATTACATGAAGATTGGATAGAAGTGAGAATTTGCTCAGGAAACACATTAAGTTATTCACCTAGTAAACACTGCCAAAGTTTTTCTAATGCCTCATCTTTATACAAAGTCAAATGTAGCATTATTATGGAGAGTAAAAAAAAAAATTAAAGACTTTATTTTGTATGTAAATGTGGTTTTAGTAAAATTCAAAATACAAAGAAAACAAACGAAGTTTGGATTCTACTCTCAGCCTTCTGGGATAAAATATTTTTACTTGCCTCTGCACATATTTCACCACAAATGTTTGTAAGTCACTGCTATAAAATGCTTTAATATGAACAGTGAATTTTCCCCATAAATACTGAGGTTGAATATACAAGGTTAATATCAAAACTGTAAAGAGTTCTTGAAAACTACAGAATTTCTAAATGAACAGATTAGCCTGCTGCAGGGTCATATATGTTGTCAAAGAACACTAGAAGACAATGGACTTTAGTATTCATGAGAGGAGGCTGCATGATCTTTAGTTTCATGCCAGTTTCTCTGCCACTCAAGACCTCAACAGAGATCCAGAGAAGCAATGGAAAAACTATTCGTAGTACTGAGGTGTGAATGCAGAGCCTTCCCATTTAGTTACACACCTATCTCTAGTTTTTTGTTTGATTGTTTGTTTGTTTTTTGTGACAATATGTTGTTGTGTTGCTAAGGTGCCCTTTCTGGACTTGAACTTGTCCTCACTCATGAGTGTCCCAGAGTGCTGGACTTGTAGAAGCTGTCTCAACTCCATCAATACAGGGCCACTGTCCATTCTCAGTGGTTATTTAACTCTGGAGCCCGCCACTGCTAGGAGCAGTTTTGTATCATTTTTATCCCAATAAACTTACTCTCTCTTTGCACTGTCTTCTGTATCCTTTTCTTCTTTCTGCATTAAAGAGACAAATCCAGGAAAACCCAAGAGAGCTCTGGAGCCCAGACAACTTGGTCCTAGGTGAGTGACAATTCCATGGATAAGTTTATAGATAAATATGATAATGGGAGGTAAAGTCAGGCTGGAGGAGGTGTTACTGAAGAGTGGACTACAATGATGTATCTCCTTCCCAGATAAAATTGTGATGTTCTTTTATACTTCATAATTTTAAAAAATTAAATAGTAAATTATTTTCCTTTAGCTATGAAAGAAGCAAAATCTGTATCTCCTATGCTTATTAGCTATACAGACACCATTTAAAGGACAGTTAAGGACAAAAGCCAGTGAGGGGTGCCTCCACTCTGAATACATGCAGAATGCTAAGAGATCCATGGAGAACTGATCTCAACAATATCCCTCCTTTGTAAATTATGTTTTTATTTTTCTTGGTGAATTCTCCCATGAGTGTGCTGTCCTCTCTGCTACTCTGATCAACTGTACTGACAGAATGGAGCAAAATCATTTCAATTTTCTTGTAGTATTAGTACAGGCTGCTATCAAAATTCCAAGATTAAAGTGAAACTAAACCAACATATTATCAAGCTGGAAAAAATTCATGAACTCTAAATTTACACTAAAGAAGGATTGACAGAAATTCTATTGTCCAAAACAAACATGGTCACTGAGTTGAGATTGACCTAAAACCATTATCTCCTGGTTAGGTAACAGATTTCAGATTTGACTAGTTCTGAGTCCGGTGAGATGAAACAAATATTAGCCTTTTAAGCAAGTATACCATAATGCCTCAGGTTAAACAAATCAAATCATTAAAATTTTCTGTGAATTACAGACAGTTCTGAGTTAGGGTTAGGGTTAGGGCTAGAGAAAATAAAAATAAAGTAAAATACAGACAGTTCTTCACTTGGGATGACTATTAGCTTTATGTAGTATAAAACCTTTCTCATGCAATGGTTCTGTTCTCTTTAAGTAGCCAATAAATTATGTAAAATATTCAACACGTTATTATAAAAAGTGCTTTGTGTTAGATGAGCATTCTGGAAAACCTTTCAGATGTGCAGGCCAGAGTCTATAGCACTGTGATGCTCCGTAGGTTAAGCCTAATAAGTGCATTCCCACTGTGTACTTTCAGCTGCTTGTGGTTTTACTGGGCTAAAAATCATAAATCAAGGAATGTCTGTAGATTCCTTCCTCTCCTGCTAGTACTCAAAATTTAAGATGCACTAGTCAAAAGTTTCTTCTAAGCTAGGGACAAGGAGACATGAATTACTCTAAATACTACAGAACTTGCTGTTTTTCCTAGACTGCTCAATTTCTTGAATCAGAGCTTCTCATTTCAGTTAAATTCTTTGGCTAATTTTACAGTTTTGAAAAGATGACTCTGATACAATTTTGCAAGTTTTTCCTTTTCATTGTCTTCAGGAAATATTAGATATTTAGATTGTTTTCCTGAACTCTTTTGTGGTGACATCTTTCTTTGTTTACTTTTAAAAGTTTGTTAGATCTTTCTTACAGCTATTTGTTTCCTATATTGTGGTTTTCTCTGCTATGAGTTGTCCAGAAATCAGAACACTCCTTTCAGATTTCAGAGGGCAAATTAAATAACATATTTGAGGATAGCAAGTATATAATATAGCTTGAATTTATTATATTATTTCCTTTTAAATATATGTTTTTTTATATGAGAAAGAAGAGAGGAGGAAAGACACATGCTGATTTAAAGTTCTTTACCCATTTTTTTAACTTCATATTCATGATATTGCCAGGCAGGTACTGTTTGAGTGGATCATCCAAGGTTAAATGTATGAAATTTAATCTCCATTGTGAGGAATTAATAATGGGTATTTAATATAGTTATGGTGCTTAGAGGTGTGATCTTTGATTTGTAGGATCAGATAAGGTTATTTGGGTAAAGCATCAGTGATTAACTCATATTATTATGAGAAAATAAAGCAAGAAAGACATACATGGATACTAACTGTCCCTTGTTATATGATTTATGTCCTATTCCACCTGAGAAATCTCCCAACAAGAAAGCCATCTCAAAATATCACTCTTCAACTTTAGAGCAGAA